AAAGGCAATAAACTTAGTTCTAGGGCACAAGCTGCATCCTATCTTTGTTCCTAGACACTCATTTGCATAAGACCCTAAAAGAAGAACAACTGATTGAATTGGGACTGATTATCATAAACCAAGGTGGAATACTAGACTGAGAGAATTACCTTTGAACCACAAAGAACTGTTGAACAGGAGGTTAGATTTCTCCCACCTCTTCTTTGAACGTGCTGAACCTCATGAGAGTATCCAGGAGGAAAGGCTTCTCTGCCAGGCCCAGGCTAAGGAATGTTGCTCTAGCTTAAAAAACACTGTAACACTCCAACTGAAGAGAGAGCAGTACCACCGGGTTGAATATAGTAGAAGATTGCAGCTGCCCATCAAAAAGTGATCTAAGTCTATGAGGTGCCCTGTCCAGAACAACCAACAGGCCCTAAGAAGAACTCAGAGGCTCAGTAGTCTGGAAGCCCAGTGAGAAGCCAGTTCAGTAGTAGATTTATCCAGCTGAGACTCTGTACCCTGAAAGGATCCAGACCAGCCGAGCATCACAGCAACTCAGCCATTACTAACACTATGTTCCACAGCCAGGTGTGATACAGTATTCTCTAGAGAAAGGATATCAAGGCCTTACAGTTTAGAGTTATGAGTTGCCTTGGTCACACTCTTTACACATACCTCATTATGATTGTATATTTAGTTTGTGCCCACTCTTCCCCTCACAGACCTTGAGTGCATTTAAGTGAGATAACACTCACAGTTTGGAGAAGAAATGCTTTATAGCTAGTTATTTTAGTAATTGTCTTTGCTAAAGAACGAAGTCTAATGGCTGATTGTTAAGGATAATCATATGAATGGGTGCTGCTGAGTTAATGTTAGAATCACCTGCAGGACTACCCCTAGAACCCTTAACAGCTTCCCTACTGGGGATCCAACCTGTAAGTGCCACTGAAACACTGAAATCCGCTTCAGTGAAGAGAACACTCATACAGAATTAAAGAACTGCAGTAACTACCATCAATCTGTAACAGCCTTCCTCTACCCTTTCCTATTACAAGTCCATCAAGGCTGCTAAGTTGTCCTCCTGTATCAAGTCTCTCCCCACTACAATCCATTCTTCACTCAGATGTCTAGCTGATTTTCCTAAAGAGCCAAGTCTAACCTTGTCACCCCACCCTCCCATTCCCCCATTCAATCAACTCCAGTGTCTCCTTTTGCCTTCAATTGTATCAAATATAAAATCCTATTTGGTTTATAAAACCCTTCACAATCTACCCCCTCCCTACCTTTTCAAGCTTATTACACCTTAAATCCTACCAAGAATAAGGCAATCCAGTGACACTGGCCTCCTAGTTGTTACTTACACATGACACTCCCATCTCCCAACTCCAAGTGGCTATTCCCCATACCTGGAACTCTCTCTTCTTCATCTCCACTTCTTGGCTTCCCTGGATTCCTCAACTGAAGTCCTATCTTCTGCAAAAAACCTTTCCTAATCTCCCTTAACGTTATCCTGTCATTTATCTCCAGTTTATTCTGTACACAACTTGTACATAGTTGTTTGCATGTTGTCTTCATTTGACTACGAGCTCCTTGAAATTAGGGAGAGTTGGCCTCTCTTTGTGTCTCCAATGCTTAGCACAGGGCCTGGCATATAGCAGGAGCTTAAAAAATGTTAGCTGACTATCAATCAGACCAGAATACAGAACTTATATAAGCTAAAGAGGGCCTCTCTTTTACTTCTCAGAAGCTGCCACTTGAAAATCCCCGGGAGAAGGTCTTATGTAGGCTTCCGTGTATGTCTATGAGATGACTGGCTATATAAACTCTGTTTTTCAACACAAAAACCATTTTCTAAGTGCTACTATGTACCACACTAGAGTACTGGGCCTGGAATCAAAAGCCACGAGTTCAAATCCAGCCTCTGACACTCACTAGCTATACAACCTTGAACAAGTCACTTAACCGTTTGCCTCAGTTTCAACTATAAAATGGAGATAATAACAGCACCTTCTTTGGAAGCTTGTTGTGAAGATCAAATGAGATAATAATGTGTAAAAGTGCTTAGTATGTACCTGGTACATAGTATTGAGTATATATATGTACACATGCACACACACACACATACATACATACATAAGTATATATGCGTCTTCCCTTTCCTTCCCCAGTACTGCAAACTCTGCTGGAGTTCTGTCTCATTCACCTCTCATTTCATAGGATCTCCTGGACACTGGTTTATTTCTTCTGGCAAAACACACCATGACATTCCCCCATGCCCCAGTGACTCAGGACAACACCTTGCTCCTGCATAGCCCTACCACTATGCCAACTCAGCTCAATGCAATTCATGGCATCAGCAAAATGTTTATACTCTAACCGTCCTTTTTCAATATTCTTCATTAATCATTAAAACATTAGCTCTTGTTACAATTTCCAGGATTATCACTTTGTAGACTACATTTTTTAAATTTTAGTAGCCACAGTTTAATAGCAAGAGCACTTGATGTGAATTTGTTGATGTGGATTCAAGGACCAACTCTGACATCTGATTACAAATCAGATCAGCAAATCACTTCTCCTCTCTGGCCCTCAGTTTCCTATTCTGTTAAAACAGGCTGGTTGAAATAAGGAATTCTTAAACTGAGGACTTTTTAAAAAAATAAAATTTTTTAACTATTTCATTTTATATATTTAAAAACATTGTTCTTAAAAGGGGTCCATTAGTATCACCAGAAAGCTAAAGAAGTTCAAGACACAAAAAAGGTTAAGAATACTTGGTTTAGAATTTCAGAGGTGGGGAACCTGCAGCCTCAGGCCACATGTGGCCTTCTAGGTCCTTAGGTACAGGTTTTACAGAACAAATCCTTTTATTAGGGGGATTTGTTCTGTGAAGTTTGGATTCAATTAAAAGGCTGCACTAGAGGACCTAGACCACGTGGCCTTGAGGCCAAAGGTTCCCCATCCCAGTGATCCTCAACATCCCTTCAGGTACTAAAATGTTTTGATTCTATGCTCACAGTAGTTACTCCAGGAAAGATTTCTACAGAGGGTTGATTTTATTCATTCGAAGTTGAGTCTTAGTAGCTTCAATTTCATTGAATGGCCATTTCTGACTATTCTTCACATCTGGGACACATCCTATTTAGGGCTAGTAGCTTTCCTCAAAACACCTTCTTTTACAACCTGCACTCCATAATTATCATTCCTTATCAACTCACACCCTGACTCCTCCCCCTCAACTAAAAAAATAGGATGACTGGACATATATATCTATATCTATATCTGTATATAGCTGAAGGTCACTTTAGAGGTCACCGGGTCCAACTCCTTCATTTTACAGCTAAGTAAACTGACACCCAAATAGGTGAAGTGACTTGTTTCAAGTTAACAGACAGAGCCATAATTTCAGGTCCTCTGAAACTAGATCCAAAACAACCATCAACTAATTAGCTATTTTTAATTTTTATTTATTTTGATGAGGCAATTGGGGTTACGTGACTTGCCCAGAATCACACAGCTAGTGAGTGTAATGTGTTCTGAGGCTGGATTTGAACTCAGGTCTTCTTGACTACAGGGCCAGTGCTCTATCCACTTCACCCCTAACTGCCCCAACTAATTTGCTATTTATTTACAAACTAAACACAGCTGCTTCTTACTGTAGAATAATCTCAGAAGGGTTTAGCAGAATGAGGATTGAGGAGTTGGATTCAGGAAACCTGGATTCAAATAGTTGGCTCAGACATTTACTAGCCGTGTGACCTTGAGTCAGTTACTGTCACCTCTACAACAGTGTTTCCTTATTGTAAAATAAGTAAAAAATACTTATATTGCCTCTGTCACAAAGGTGTTAAACTTTAAGCCCTAAAGTGCTATATAAACTTGAGCTATTATTGGTATGCTAGTGCAGTACCACTGAGATTATCTCTAATTTATTCTGTATCTATCTCATTTGTTGTTGCATATTGTCTTCCCCATCAGATTCTGAACTTTAAAGAGGGGACTAATCTTGCCTTTCTTCCTATCCCCAGCATTAGCAGTGTCTGACACATAACAGGTGTACAATAAACTCTAGCTGACTTGCTTCCCTTTGTTCTGAAACCGATCTACTTGCCTCTCAATCCCAAGTTAAAACTCCTACTCCCTCTCTTACACTAAGGAAAAACTCCCAGGTTGACTGATAGCTTTAAACTAAAGGTATTTATAGTTTAAAAAGAACTTATTAATAAATGACCTTAATGAATGGATTCAGGGACATCTTAAAAATAGTGCCGCTGGGTCTTAACTACTTCGGCAGCAGATCTTTCTCTCACCATCCTTAGAATGTTGGCAATCAATGAAAGGCAGTCAAGATCTGAGGCAAAAAAGGGCCTTTGAAAAAAAGTTTTATTTATTATTATTATTTTTTTTTAAGCAGGAGTGCAGTGCACAGACAGTGTTTTAGAAGACTAAACTTTCTGAGGGAGTGAGGTCAGTTCCCAAGTTTCTAACTCTAAACCACAAGGTTCCACACTGTTCACAGACATCAGAAAGCTGGGGAAGGAAACGATGACAAACTAGATGTAGGATTTTTTAAGGCCAGGCTTTCTCTCCCTGGTAAAAGGACGCCGAGGTCTAACTCAGGCTGACACTTACTAGCCATGTGATGATGGGCAAGTCATTTTAACTTCTCTGAGCCTCAATTTCCTTACCTGTAAAATGGAGAAATTTCCAATATCATTTCCTTTTAAAAATTATCGCGGCCTACCTCACAGGGTTATTTTAAGGAAAGCGTTTCATAAGCTTCTAGAGATGTGAGTTATTATTATTACTCCTCTGGCTTCTGAATTTGCCTAACACAACCACCCCCAAGCTCTTTCATTTTTCGAAAAACCAGTTAGAGCCTCCGCCTTCCCAGGCGGGGTTCACCCTTTTCCTCTAGCCGCACGGCACCAGCGATGGTTCCGCCCGGAAGTGGAAGGGCCTCGTTTCCGGCCGTCGCGCGCCTGGTGACGTCATGAGCGTGCGCGACGCCAGCTCAAGCGGCCTCGCGGTCAGCCGGCCGTTCCCTCTTTCGTTGTGTCGGCGCGCGTCGCGTATGGAGGTCAGAGGCAGTGAAGGCCTAGGGGCGCTGCCCCTGGAGAGCCGGGTGGGTACAGTCCCGGGGAGGAAAAGGGGGTTGGGGAAAGGGAGCCAGGAAGCGGCGGGAGGAGGGGGGAGGCCGCGGGAAGGCCCAGAGGCGGCGGGGGACGAATGGCCAGAGAAGGGGGAGGCTGAGCTCCTGGGGATTCCTGGCGCGAGAAACCGCCTCCCCGACGCCGGGCCTGCGGGACGTTCTTGAGCGCCGGTCCTTCCCGCCGATGCGCCGCTCCGGCTGCTTTTCTGCCCACCCGGCCCTTACCCCGGCTTCCGGCCTCGGAATGCGGGGACCGGGGGGGGGGTGTGGCTTTGTAGGCCACGTGGAATCGAGACCCACTTCTGCTTCGCCCCTCGCGTGAACGTGTGACTTTGACCAAGTCCCTCAAACTTATTGGACCTCAGTGAGTGAATTGGACTTAGTGACCTCCAAGGTCACTTCCAACACTAAGTTCATTGAGTCTCCAAAACACCTGGCGGTATGTTAGAAAATGAATATTCTCTCACATCCCGTGGAATGCTTTAGAATTTCACAAAGAAACGTCAGGGTTCAACCCTTTGTTTCGCTCGAGAAAGGAAAAGGCACCGGACAAGAGATAGGGGAAGTGATTTTCCCAAGGTCACGTACCTGGGAAAACCCAGGTCTCATGGCTCCCAACTCTCTGCCCCTACTGGAGGCCAGAGGAAAGAAGTTACGTAGCTGGAATCTTAAGCTGAATTGAAAGATGGGGTACAGGGGTTGCTGGGGTTCGCTTAATGCAGGACTTAGAGACTAATTCAGAGGCCTTTAAAGGTCGTTTAGCCTAACCTCATTTTACGAAAAGGAAAGGCTTGGAAATGGTTTAAGGCACCTGCCTAAATTCTCTAGTAGTTAGTGGCAGTGCAGAAATTCAAAACCAGGTCTTATTGAGTCCAAATCTAATGCTTTTCCTGCTATATTGTGCTGACTCTCTTAATTGTATATTAATCTGAAAATAGTCTGTAAAATTTCTCAGAAACTTGGCTTTTATAAAACCTGAGATTTGCCAGTGTCGTGCTCTTAGTGGCAAAGGTAAGCACTCCCCTTTTTTTCCCAAGAACTAGGCGGAGAGCATATAAAAAACTTGGTCTTTACCCTCAAGGAGCTTTAAAACCTAAATTCATAGTATTTATATGTCTATAATGGGAAATTATTTTTCATTATATGCTTCTGATTTTTTCTTTTTTTTTTGTGAGGCAATTGGAGTTAAGTGACTTGCCTTGAGTCACACAGCTAGTGTTGTGTCTGAGGCCGGATTTGAACTCAGGTCTTCCTGACTCCAGAGCCAGTGCTCTATCCACTGCGCCACCTAGCTGTCAGTCTGATTCTTATTTCAAACCACTCATTTCTGGAGTAAGACCTGTATTCAGGTCAACATAATAGTTTTCAAGACAGTTTTTTTTTTTAAAAGACATTTTAGGTATAGGTTGCTTGCCCTTGGGCTTTTTGTTAGTAGGAAAAACTGAGAAGAAATAGTCTGGGGTAGGACTGTTCCTATCTAGAGTGATGGTGGCCAAGTGTGGGGATTTGCTTGTGGGCTTCTTAAACCAGAACTGGCCACAGCATCTGCTGTCTATTCTTATGAGTTTTATTTCCAATAAGTGGCTGAGTGGAAGTGGGAATTAAATAGGAAAGTGAAAAAGAAGTGGCTGTTGACTTATTGGGTTTCCACCAAGCCTGCATATGGCCCAGAAAGTACCCTGTGCAAAAGTACACAGTTACATATTTAAGCCATTTATCTTCTTATTCAGAGTAGTAGAGTTTTGGAGTTGGAAGGGATCTCTGTCTACTTCAACCCATACCTGAAAAAAGAATCCTTTCTACAACAGAGATAACAAGTGATCCTCCAGCCTTTGCTGGAAAACCTTTCATGATTTTTCGAACTTCTCAGTAGGCTGCCCTTTCAATTTTTTTGACTTTTGTTGCTAGGAAGATTCACCTTATGATATGCTTATATACCTTTTAACACCTAGTTCTGCCCTGTGTTACCAGGAAGAACAAGTCTGATTAGTCTTCCACATGATATCTTTGTGCTTAAATCTCTTATCACAGCACTTGTTTGAGATAAAATGGTTGATTCTTCCCCAAGGTTCTTTTTTGCTAGAAAAGTTGTATCTCTTACAGAAATGATCCAAGGCCTAAAGAGGTTTAAGTGAAAGTCCCAGATCATATTCTATCATCCTGTGGTCCTAAGCCACGTTGATTATTTCACAGCTTCTTTTATTCTGTCCTTTTCTTTAAAATCTGACTAATACCATAGTTCCCCATTGATTATCTCACACTTAGACTGAGAAAATAAACTTTTAGTGGATTCTCTGCCTCCCATTGTATCCTATAGCACCAGACTGAGCTTACTAAAACATAAATCCTGCACAAGTATTTTCCAAGGCTCCCTTATTCTTTACAACCTGGCTTCAACCTTTTTCAGCTTCTGTCTCATTACTATCATCCATGAAGCCCACACTCCAAACTAGTTTACTCACAGTCCCCACATAAACTATCTGTAGTTTCCACACCTTTTAAAATCCTCTTGGGGCAGCTAGGTGGCACAGAGAATAGAGCACCAGCCCTGAAGTCAGGAGGACCTGAGTTCAAATCCGGCCTCAGACCAAACACTTGACACTTACTAGCTGTGTGACCCTGGGCAAGTCACTTAACCCCAATTGCCTAAAATTTAAAAAATATATATATATTTATATATCCTCTGAAAGATGGGAGTCTTGGCTGTTTGGTTTTTTTCTCAGTATCCTTGGGGCCTCATACAGAGATGGCTCTTAATAGAGTTGAATCAAACTCTTTAAGGTAAATAGTTTGAATTATACATATGATGTCACAGAGATAATAGGAACCCTAGCTAGAAGGAGTCTAGTCTGACCCTGCCTATTTGAAATGAGAAAACAGCCACAGTTTTCCTGTGGCCAGTAGTAGGCAGGCTTAGACTTAAATAAATGACAGTCTCCTATGTCTTAAGTCCAGTGCTCATTCTTGGTATACCACACTGCCTCTCCCACTACCCAGAGGGGCATAGCCTTAGCCGAAAAACCTGGTAAATTACCATTGGAAGCAGTTGCCTTTTCTGCAACAAGAGCTGACTCAGGATTTCTATTAGATAAGTAGTTAACCTGTTGATCAAGCAAGTAGCTCCTGTCACCTGCTGCATGTTCAGTACTAGAGAACAGAAAACATAAGACAGTTCCGTCCCGTAAGGAGTTTACAGTCTACTATGGGATATAAAACTTTCAGGAAACAGGCAATTATTCAGAGTATTAAATGACTGGATTGAATATAATCAAGTGCTGAAATATTTGTAAAAGCAGTAAGTATTCTGTGTGCTAGATACTGTTTGGTAGTGGTAATAGGAAAAGTTTCATGGGAAAAAGGACACATGGAGAAAATGGCCTTGAAACCCACCTTGGTCTTAATGCTTGTATTTTAGGAATGTCTATTATAATAACATCTTGTTCAGTGCTTTAAGGTTTGCAAATTCTCTCTCCTCTTGCTTTAACAGGTCTTAAGTGGCTTGAGTTGAATTGAAAGTGCTGTACCTCTCCTTCAGCTTCAGTGTCCCTGCTCAGGCCTAGAAGGCATCATGGCATCTCGCCTGATGCAACGCTGCATCTGCCTCTTGGCTACCCATCAGGCCTCACCCTTAACTGTAATTGGCAGCCTAAGGCTGGCCAGGGCCCCCTTCAACATGATGACCACCACACATGAATCCACTGTCTCCACTTTGGATAGCCTCATAAATAAGGAGCCAGTATTCACTCCCTACCCATGGCCTCAGGAAGTCGACCAGAAGATTGAAAAGGCTACCACCCCTGAGGAAGTACTGGAATTGCTTGATGGTAGGCACAAGCTACACCATAACCACGCTGCCCTTATGATAATTAAGCTTTCTCGCCTCTTGGCTGATAAGCACCAGGACAGAGACTCACTCACTAAGGATGCCCGGGTTCAGAAGCTTTTCCGCACTGTGGACAATCAGGTGGGTTACAGGGCATTTTTAGACCTTTAGAAAAGATGAGACAGACAAAAGTATTTGTTTTTGTTTATGTGGCCTAATACTCTACCAGGCATTTGGGATTGCATCTTCAAGTACAAACATGGTCAGTCAGTCTGAGAGTAGGGTGAGAACTGTGGATACTTCTTTATATTTTCCACAGTGCCAAAACTCTGCTAGATTCCGAATTGATTAATTTCTTGAGGAGATGCTTACTAAGCTCTTACATTGTGCAGAGCACTGTGCTGAGCATTGGGGGAGATGGATAATACTCTGCCCTTGTGGAGTTTACGATCTAATATATTATACAATGTTGTATGAGAAGCATATCAAGACATACAACAAAATGTGCTATATGAGATCTGGAGCTGGACAGCTATGATGTGGCATTTGAGCGGGGATTTAAAGCATGGGACTTCCTTAGGAGTCAGGTAGTTGAGGACATGTGGGGGTCAGAGAAAGCTTCATCAAGAAAATAGTTTTTGAATTGAGCTTTAAAGGATCATTTGGAATTCAGAAGAGGGAGAAGAACTTTTAGGCATGGGGAAATAGTGTGAACAAAGATATGGAGGCTGGAAAATTCAAGGTGTACTGCTTGAGAGTGCTTAGGGGGAAGATAGGAAATAAAGCTGGAAAATTAGAGTGGTACAAGTTTGTGAAGGGTCTTGACTGTTAGGCAAAGAAATTTAGGCATAATTCAGTAAGCAATGAGGAACCACTAAATATTTTTGAGCATTGACATAACCAAATCTTTGCACAAGATTATTCTGATAGTGAAGGATAGATTTGTAAGGGCATAAGAGTGGAAAACAGAAGACCCATTAAGATTTATTGCAGAGTCCAGGCAGGTGGTGATAAAGGCCTATATTAGGGTGGCAGTAGTGAGAATGGAGAAGAAGAGAAGGCTGTAAGATATGAACATAGAATCAACATGATTTGGTAACTGGCTTTAAAAGAGGAAGAGGGAAAGGAAGACTCAAGGAGAAACTGGTGTCATAGATGGAAAAAGTAAAGGTAGGATGAGTTTAGGCGGAAAGGATAGTGAGCTTGCTTTGAGACATTTCTGTCAGATCTTTTTGGCAATCTGATAAAGCTTATGGACTCCTCACAATCATTTTTAAATGCATAAAATAAGATTAAATCAATTAAAATTCAGTTATCAATGTTTAAAAAGAAAAAAATCAGGTTAAGAACTCCTGGATTAGAGAAATAGTCAAACCAGGAGAGTGTGGTGTCTGTGAAGCCAGGAAAGGAGAGAGTATTCCGTCAGGTAGCAGTATCAGATGCTGCGATTCAAGGAGGACATATAATCATAAATTGTGGGCTAACAGGGACCTTAAAGGTCATCTAGGCAATCCTATAACTTTAAAGGCTCAGAGAAGTTAGGTGACCATCTCAGGGAAGTAGCAGGGCCAAGATTGGAACTAAGGTCAATTCTAAATACAACCCTGTTTCTTCTGCATCATGAAAAGAGCCATTAAATTTAGCGATCCATGAGTCATTAGTAAATTTAATACCAGTTTTAGTAGGCCAAGAATTGGAAACTGGGTTGTAAGAGGTTTAGAAAAAAGAATGGGTTGTGAGCATCAGAAGTGATGAGCGAACACAAGCTGGACAGGGTAGAGAAGTCTTTTAAGGGTGTTGAAGAGACCCAGCATATTTCTAGGTAGATGGGAAAGATGAAATGCCTGCTAGAGTGTGTTAGGGTGAGCGCAAGGGTGCAGCTGGTGGAGTTAGCCTTTGTGAAGGATAGAGATAGCATCTTACTGACCACAGGGAAAGAGGCAGCAGAGGAGAAAGGCAGAGTTTTGAGATGGCCTCAGTACTACTGACCAAATAGGAGACTGTCAAATACCGCATTGATAGGAAAGGTTGGCAATTGTTGCTATGGAATAAGCTT